TGAGATCCAAACCTTGAAATTAGTCATTCATTCCATTCACCCGAAGCAGCCGAGTGTCTGTCTAAAAGTCCTGTTATCAAGAAGCCGCTTTTACAAAAAAAAAACTCATCTGCCTCCAGTCATCCCTCTGTTGAAACACCTACCACTAAAAAGTACATATAAACGAAGTCTTTGTTTTGTTTTGTTTTCTTAATCTTTTCTCCTTTTTTCTTTTTCCCTTTTCCTTTCTCCTTTTTCCTCTTTCCTTTTTCGTTTTTCGTTTTTCGTTTTTCGTTTTACGTTTTTCGTTTTTCGTTTTTCGTTTTTCGTTTTTCGTTTTTCCTTTTTCCTTTTTCCTTTTTTCTTCTTATTTATTTTTTATTTTTATTTTTTATCTTTTTACATCAAAAAATCAGTATTTTTTTAAAAAAAAAAAAATTAATTGGCTCTTATTTCTGGAAACGACGTAGTGCAATAAACGTCTGGAGTCACTTCTTTTGCAATTATACTCTGGTACATTCATCATTCCATCTCTGAAGTCTCTCCTCTTACTTATCTCTATTTTAAATCAGCATAGACAGGTTTATAAAGGCCGTGCTGACAGTATACTACGCCAGTGCTAGGAGTAAGTGTTTTTCGTTTATGGCTTTTCTTTTCCCTAGTTATCTCTTCAGACTTACGCTACCTGTTTCTACCGTTGTGACGGCTTATCTGTATAGAAAAGAAATTAGTACGTATCAATTTTGATTCTTCTCAACATAAACTAACCTAACATTCATTTAGAACATTTTGGTTATTCCCCTTCTTTTTATATTTTACGTTGCCTCTTATACAGAATAATCATTGCCTGCATTTTAATCCATGTGCCGTTTGCTTTTTAGCTCATTAAAGTAGTAATTCTTTCACATAACAAATTGTCCTGAAGTATCAGGATAAATAAATCTTACTTTCGTTCTTTTCAATAAAATAAATAATTAACATTTAAAACTGCAACCAGCTCACTATGGCGGACGTAACAGCAGCTGTGAATTAAATGGAAAAATAACTGTCATTTTTTTTATTTGTTCGATATCCCCAGCCAATAAGATTTGAGTAAAAGATTGCTACAAATGATCACAATATCATAACAAAAATAACAAAAATACTTCAAAAACATCTCTGGAACCGTCAATATGTAGTTTAGATGTTATAAAAACTATCTCGAAGATAAAATTAGATTGGTATATTCCAAAAAATTTGATGCGACTTTGATCCGAATTTGATCTGTTACCGTATAAAAAAAAATTTTGCGCCTGTGAAGCAAATAATAACAAACTGCCATTTTTTTATTATTTTAAAAACCAGATTTATTTTTTTTATTTTTTTAAAGTTCTTTTTTTTCGGTTCTGTGATTCTTTTTTATAATTTTGCCAAAAGAAAATATGACCTTATTTTATTCGACATGTGTTCCGAAAAAAAAAAAAAAAAGTAATGAAACGAATGACAATTAACAAAAACTTAAAAAATGGAACTGTTTCTTTCATTTGCTTGAAGATTATCGTTGAAAACATAGTAGGCGGGAATGACGTAGAACTGGTTTCCATTGGGAGAAAACTCAATTCACCCAACATGATGTTCAATGTCTGCCACATGGATGACCGCGAATGTTGCTTGCGATGAGCCTGAACGAGCCTTGATAATTGGAACAGCCTTGTCATGTCGTTGTAAGTCGTGGTGTTTCATGACTTCGACTAGGGCAAAAAATTGTGCGATATTATTGAAGTCAACATGCTTAAAAAAGAACTGAACAGCACCTACAAGCCAACAGCGACGGGAAACGTGGAGATGACTAACATAAAAATAGAAAAAGAAAATGCGGGAGAAGCTAATTCAATGAAAACAGGAATCAACATAATTTTTATAGCTGGTGGTAAACATCACGTAATGATTTCCCGGAATTATCTCGTTCATTCGTCTCCGGTACATGCTGGAGGTGTTAACATTGTTGTTTATCCAAGCACGAGAAGCAATGTCAATTTCAGAATCACCGAAAGAAGTAGCAGCATTAAGACCACTAGATCTTCGGTAATATCTAGATAAGACATCCTTTACTTGGCTACATCTGATACCTTCAATCATCTGACCATTCAGAGAGGCGTTACCACCAAATGGCCCTCAAAGCTGTACATCATCCAGGCTATCAGGAAGATTCATGAAATCGATGTCATCTGGTCCGGCTGGTACGATCAAATCAATTTCCCTCGTAATATCCATAATGCCGCTGATGAAATTACGAATTGCAAATCTTTCGATGGACATACTTGCATTTCTACCGCACATTCTTCTTGATTTAATCAGATTGGAGTATACACCAATGACTCTCTCCATAGATCATGCAGAGTAACACCTCAAGGGACCTTGCTACTTGATAAGGTATGGAACGTGATTCAAGTAACGCTGAACCGGACGAACAAGCTCCGAGAGATGATCTTTAAATTGACTTGCTCCAGAAAATAGGTGTGCCAATTCCCAAAGAAGCTGTCAAAGGTAATATATTTCTGTTAAATAACTGAATTCCCCTTACTTTAGTATGCAAACTTACCCCTCCATTTCACTGATTAGATCTGGTGTAAGATCCCACTGCAGTGCAAGAGCGCAACCTTTGAGCAATCCCAGCACGTTGTTTTTGGCAGACATGTTAGGCAGGCAGGGCACAACCAATGTGGGAACAATGTACAAAAGGAAGTCCAACCATTCCACCGCACGTGTATCATCAATCGTTTCAAAAACCTTGTCGAAACTACCCTGGAAAGAAGCAGGGACATGCTTTCTCGATGAAGTGATACAATCCTCAATAATATCCAAATTGTTTCTTAAGATGTAGAAAGGATAGTTGGCGATTGAGACGGTTTTATCTCGCTTTGTATAGTATTATTTTGGATCTTTGGAAATGTTTACTGTGATCAGATCGTATAAATGTTTGCCGATACCTCTGGTCAAAAGATGGAGCTCGTCCAACGCCAAAAATGAGGAGCCAGAAAATGTCGATAGCTCATTTAAAACACTAGGTTGGTAAATGATTTTTATCTATAGTAGGTACACTTTAATGGTCTCGAGAAAACAAAAGATCAAGTTTTTATACTTACAGGATTTCCAGTCATGTAGTTTTACCGTGGTCACAATGGGGCAGAACTATGGTCAAAAAATTTTCCATGCGACTTATTTTCTGGAATTCTCTTTTCCGATTCCCAAAAATGACAACCGAATGAACTGGTATGAGAACCGATGTGAGCCATATCCACCACAACTGGAATATGACCAAAAGCCAGCAACAAATAAACTTTGGAGCGACAGATTTCTATATCACCACGTTTAAGAACAGGCCCATGGGTTTCCAAATCGATTAACTCGGCGATGATGGGCCCCAAGAATGAATCCAGATGTGTAGGTTTTTTAGGACCAGGTAAAATTGCTAGCTGTAACATATGCTCGTTTGTGTATCTAATGTCTAGTGTTTAGAGAGCTGTAACTTTTAAGACCAGTATAAGTTGTGACCTGATGGAAGGATCCAGATTGAATATCACAACGTGGATGATTGTAAAAGAATTTTATCCCTTCTTTTGGTTTGCAAACCTATCCGTTTAAATACCAATGGCGATATCGTCAGGATTAGAGAACAATCCCTTTCTTACCAGAACTTTGTACATTTGCCCATCGAAAATATCACTCATTTGCATTTTACTTGATTCCCTGTTGGCTCTATATTTAGAAGGTATCTAGTGTGAGGATCAGTCAACATATTCGAAAGAAAATCGCCGATAGGCATCAATTTCATACTGGCGTAGGGGATCTTGATCAATTCAGGGCTAGTCATATATCGCTTTTTGTGACATTCCATACATTGGTCCTCTTCATCATCCAACCCATACAATCTACAGCCGTTGGGACAGACATCATAATCGTGGCCATGAACACTGGATTTAGCTTTGACTAAAACATCAACAACCTCACAATAGCTAATTTTGGCTCCGGGTTCTGAATGAATTACCAATGTGATGTTAGAAAATTTAGTATATCAAGATCATACGTTTATTTTTATTACCCATCATTATCTCATCGTGGTCCCGAATAACCGTATTAACATATCTTACAATGTCCCTGTAAGCAGCTCTGGCTATCATGTGCCGCAGCATCAATTGGGAAAGATGGATGCTCATTAATGCAGCTTTTGTGAATTTGTTGGAGCCGATTATACTGACTTGATAAACGTGAACCCTGCCTTCATTTTCTTCAAAGCTGCATCCGCAATTATAATTAATTTGATCATCAACATCCATGCCAACGGGGGTAGAGACTAACATTACCTTGTAAGTTATTTTTAAAATAAGGAGATAAGGTAGTTATTTTTACCGTAATCACTGACATCTCCATTATCAGCAGAATCGTAATTGCTTTCTTGCATATCGGTATCTTCAGATGTTGTTGTTCGTATATGAACTCTCTTATGGTTTTCGAGTTGACCGTAACTGTCAAAGATCATCGAACAGCTGTCACATTCAAAAGCTTCACGGGGAAGTCTATCTCTTTGTCTGTTGGCATTTGACGAAGAAGAGGGCGGGAATGACATTTGAAAACTTTGATATTTGTGGAAGTGTGATTTATATTTGGAAAATGTAAGCGGTGTAAGTAATGTCTATATGTAAGGTGCTTTTTATATACTCAGTAACTTAAGTTTAAAATCGCCTTTTTAATTTTTTCCCTTTCATAGTGACATACGTTAATGATGAAAGTTTCCTGGAAGATGTCGACAGCTACGATATATTAATAGCTATGGTCTTTGACCTTAAGTACTATTTTCGTCGACTTTTTTCCCGTCATTTGAAATTTAAAACGCCATGACATGACATGCCGTCGAAAAAAAAAAAAAAAAAAAAAAAAAACAGAAAATGACATAATTTAGATAAGCAGACAAGACTCGAAGTAACTAAAGGTGGGATAAATATATTACATGTACTAGCATATCTTAAAACAAACATTTCCAAATGTCTGACATGAATATTTTAGTCACCAATTCTGTTCGCAAAATTGAACTTGACGTTACCGACATCAAACAAATGCTAGCTGCGCTGTCTGATCAGTTCAAAAATCAATTTTCACTAAACATCACCGATCAAGATGTAAATATGATACAAAAAAGTATCGTCAAACAAAGTGGTAAAGCATATCCTTCCCAGATTCTGATAATCGTGACTGAATCAGTTTTTTTTGTATATTTTTTTAGCTCTTGATCGAATCACCGAGTCGGTAAAAAGATCCCAAGTGATTGAATATCCTGATCAGCTTGGTGAACGAACGATTGACACAAATTCTGAAGAGTTTGAAGGAAAGAAGGTCTCGGATAGACTTAATGTACTGCTGCAACTTTTATACACAAAAGACTGGCAAGGATGTTCCCGATGAGCAACAAAAGCCACCTCTAGTCCCAATTTCACAACGTGATTTGGAAATCAAACGAGTCCAGTTGAAGTCACTGGCACGTAGATTGAAGCATGATTTGACTGACCTGGAACACCCTGACGTGTTACAAAACTGGAAGGATATCCCGGCAACTGATATAAAATTTTACATGTTGCACCTGGCAAAGCTTGCGAATGACAAAGGATTCAACATATACCAGTGTAAAAGAATGTGGTATGCCAAAAGCTTGTTAAGGGGGAGCTTTAAAAGTGACAACCAAACAAACAGAAGAAGGTAAAAGTAAAAAAAAATTTAGCGGTTTATTTCTTCAATATCGTTAAAAGGTAAAAAAATGTAGAGTCAATAAGATCTTGATGTTTCAGACTCTATCAATGACGCTTTCAAAGATATGGGTCGCGATGAGTCCCCCATCCTAGCAGAAGTGCTGTAAATTATTTTTTTGTTTTTCATGCATGATATATGTATAATCATATGCGATAATTATTTTTTATACAGTTCCCCTCCACCAGAGGTAGCGAATGAATCTTCACGTAAAAAGAACCAGAAGAAGATAATAGTGGTATCTGGTCGACATGATTGGCCCATTCGGCTTTTTTAGCTTCTTTACTAGTGTGTATTTTAGGGTTTTTTGACTTACAATTTTTTCTCTCTTTCTTTTACTTCTATTTATCTTTTAAAATAAATAGCATTCAAATAATGATGGTAAAGCTATATAGCCCCTTTAAAATAACGGAAAGTCTAAAGAAATATGTTGGAATTGGGTATGTTTGTAATGACTGAAGCAATAACATGTAATCTGTATAATAATGTAAGGGCACTCACAAGCAACAAAATTATTTTTTTAAAGACCCCGATTTAAGACTTTATTATTTTTTTTTTTTTTTTTTTTTGTGAAAGATTACAATTTTGCCAAATAGATGAATAAAAAATTAAATAAATATATATAGACGTTTAGCAATAACCTCAAATTTTTTTCAGTGCCAAAATCTTTGAAATATCCCAATAAAGAATTAAAATCCAACAAGCCCATAATCCTTCTATCAGATGAAAAATCAGCCAGGTTGGACTACTGAACTCACAAATGTTTTTGTTTTTGTTTATTTGATAAAAGAGTTGTGTTTGTGATTCCCTTAATTTTTCTGTACCAATTCTTAACTATCCAATTTTATTTAAAAAAATGCCTTTCCAAAAGTACACTACCATTAACTTCGTCATATGTGATTCAGAAAGCACCAACGTTTTGATCGAGTAGGTTTCCGATTAAGTTCATAACGTGGGTGTTATTCGCTCACCTCAAGCAAAGCTGAACTTGAACAAGGCAACGGAAGATGCTTTTAATGCCAGTGACGCTATCAACGTTAGAAGGGACTTTGCATCGATGAATAACAAGTGGATTAGCCTCTGTGATACGTTCAGAACCAGACGAGACGCTGCTAATTCTACTGGTAGTGCACCTCTTCAAAACTGGGAGTTTCACGATCTGATGGAACAGGCAACATCGAGAATGCAATTAAACTGTAGTGGAGACTTTGTTGTCGGTAAAGTGTAGAAATGTCTGATTCCATAATCATATTCATATCATCATTAAGTCCAAAAAAATTTATTTCGATTCAACAATTACAGTAACAATTTGAGATAGGTTCATTTTGTTTTCTCTAGAAATAAAAAGTATATCGAAACAATAGAGTCCTTGAAAAATAATAACACATAGGTTAGCATTTTGAGTGAAGTTTATATTTTAATCACTCAAAAAGGGTCATTAAAAAGCAACGTCATGGATTTTGAAAAAAGCTATCTTTTCGAAGTCTGAAGTAACCTTTTACAAAAAATAAAAATAATAAAGTCCTTAATAAGGATCTTTAAAAAAATAATTTTGTTGCTTGTGAGGGCCCTAAAGGGGTTTTTTTCTAGTCTATTTTTGTTATTTTGATCAACTGGGTACATCTGTATAATATAACCATTTTCCATAGATAATGATCGTTATAAATAAACGGTTCAACCTTTAGAGGTAAATAGCCTTTTTAAAGAACCCGATTTAGGACTTTATTATTATTTTTTTTTTTATTTTTTTTTGTGAAAGGTTACAATTTTGCCAAATAGATGAATAAAAAATTAAATGGATATATATAGGCGATTAACAATAACATCGAATTTTCTCCAGTGCCAAAATTTTCGAAATATCCCAATAAAGGATTAAAATCCAACGACCCCAGAATCCTTCTATCAGATGAAAAATCAGCCAAATTGGGCTACTGAACTCACCAATGTTTTTGTTTTTTTTTTTTTGATAAAAGAGTTGTGTTTGTGATCCTCTTCATTTTTCTTTACCAATTCTTAACTATCCAATGTTATTTAACCAAATGCCTTTCCAAAAGTACACTACCATCGTCATATGGGATTCAGCAAGCACCAACGTTTTGATCGAGTTTTTTTCCGATTACGTTGTAAACGTGGGTGTTATTCGCTCACCTCAAGCAAAGCTGAATTTGAACAAGGCAACGGAAGATGCTTTTAATGCCAGTGACGCTATCAACGGTAGAAGGGACTTTGCAGCGATGAATAACAAGTGGATTCGCCTCTGTGATACGTTCAGAACCAGACGAGACGATGCTAATTCTACTGGTAGTGCACCTCTTCAACACTGGGAGTTTCACGATCTGATGGAACAGGCAACATCGAGAATGCAATAAAACTGTAGTGGAGACTTTGTTGTCGGTAAAGTGTAGAAATGTCTGATTCCATAATCATATTCATATCATCATCAAGTCCAAATAAAATTTATTGCGATTCAGCAACTACTGTAATAATTTGAGATAGGTTCATTTTGTTTTCTCTAGAAATAAAAAGTATATCGAAACAATAGAGTCCTTGAAAAATAATAACAGATAGGTTAGCATTTTGAGTGAACTTTATATTTTAATCGTTCAAAAAGGGTCATTAAAAAGCAACGTCATGGATTTTGGAAAAAGCTTTCTTTTGGAAGTCTGAAGTAACCTTTCACAAAAAAAAAAAAAAAAAATAATAATAATAAAGTCCTTAATCGGGATCTTTAAAAAAATAATTTTGTTGCTTGTGAGGGCCCTTATTCATGTTTATATCATACTACTTACATATAGACTATTAATTCTGTGTAACTTTCACTCAAACGACGACATTTTAGGAACACCACCGGTCAAATAATCATCGACATCAGAAATTAAGGCTGGTAATAAAATGTAGAATTAATTACAATATTACTATTTTCTAGCAATACCTTTATAGAGTATATAGAGATTCAAAGGTAAGCTAAAGTAACACCCAAGCATTATAATGGTATATCTTATTGCCATGTATACAACCACAAACCTAAATAAAAAGATTAAAGTTATATCAAACCTTCCTATACACCACTGAAATGTAAATAAACAATACAATAAAACGTGCTTTACTGCCAATAATAACAATGAATAAGAAAATGTGAGTCTGCCAAATATAAAAGAATGGGTCTAAAAAAAAGGTTAAGGGTTTGTCCGTTTTAAAAAAATGGCAACTTTGAACGTTTTTTTATTATAAAATATCATAACTCCCACTTTTACAAGCCAGGAAATGGAAGGTGTGAGTGATTTGTCTTCAACAAACTAAATTAGATGCCATTTTTTAAAACCATAAAACAGCAGCTGTGAACCTCTTGGCTTCATTCAACTGTTAAAGGTGCCATTTTTGCCAGCCAAAAATATGGCCACTGTGCCTCTTTTGTTATTATAGAATATCATGTCTGCCATTTTTGCACGCCGAAAAAATGGCAGTTTTGTGAAGTAAATGGCAAATAGTTGCCATTATTTCCGCCATAATGTAAACTGATGGCAAAACCGAAAAAAGCGTCTTCTAATAATGTGCTGCGCGATGTATGTCATAACATTACGAATAATTTTCTTTATCACCTAGGTATTGAAACAGTTCATTGTCTTCTTTTCCAAATTAGGCTCGACAGACTTCGCTTATTTCAAAATATATTATCCTTTTCATAGGCCAAATTAATTAGATTTGAAGCAAGTAAGCCACAGTAAATTGTTTAAAAGTTATTTAATTAAACTCTCTTGAAAAGTGGAGGAGACACTATTTATGGCAGATAACGCTCCAATTAAAACACGACGTAATCATCCAATAACCCCAGTCATAAGATTATCTTATGAGGCTTTGTCACGGTATAGATAGAACCAAGGTTAACGATCCTCTTGACAACCTTTCGAATTCGTCTTTTTCAGGTGTAATTGTTGGCACTAACATTATAGACTTTATTGGTTTAATATTCTATAATGCCTTCTTCTTGTATCTGATTAACATTTTCGGGGTAGTTGTTTTTCTTGCTTTTGATTATATGGTCCTTATAGTTGTACTCAAATTGGCAACTAACCAGCTTAAGTAGATTAACTAATATTTGTGATCGTGTCAGACTTCATGTTAGGCAATGCCATCCTGGTTCTAATTTTCACATCGACATTCATTTCACCTAATGAATCAAAGAAAAAAAAAAGCAAAGTGTAGTTTAATACGTGAAATCGTTCGAAAGCTTTTTTCGGACGTACCTTCAGAATGTGGGAAAGATCATTGAGAAGCTCTGAATTTTTGGTTACGCGTATAAGGAATTGTTTTTTACAGCATGCGTCAGTTTTTTAACTTTGGCTCATCTGCATTCATAGGTTCGGCAAAAGATTGTCATATGAGGAGTCTCCTAAACTATTTAAAAGCGACAGAGATGAGGACAAAAAAAATAAAAAAAAAATAAAAAAGAAAAAAAAATTACAGCAACCAGTATTCCTAAGTGGTCCCCCACCATAGTACTGACTGGCCCAGATATTGCTTAACTGCGGAGATCAGACGGGATCCGGTGTATCCAATATTGTATCGCCGTACTTGGATTTGAAGCCAGCTAATAAATCATTGCTTAACCGTATCAAGACGGTTTTCAAAGTTACAAAACCGGAATGACAAAAAAAAAAAGACCTAAGAATTAATATGATTAATTGTTTCTTCATATATAATAAATAAAAATAGCTTTCCCTAACGTACCACCAATCTTAATGCGAGCAAAACTTTGAGTTTGTTTCAAAAAAACGTGAAACATGGAAAGTCAACCTATTATATAAAAAGAAAAAATAGAAGTAAAATATAATTTATGTTGGTAGTATTACTCGGTATGTATTTATGTTTATATACGAAAGGTACTTCCTTTCAGCACACTTTTGAAGAGTTTGAACCAGTTTATTGCGGTCACTACAGTTAATGCCTTTATCAATATTATAATGATTGTTTTGACTTTGCAGTATATATCATATTTAGTGATTCGGATTGCTTTTTTTTTTTTTTTTTTTTTTTTTGTGGGGCCACGCAAAGCGCAGGTTAATGCAACCGACATGTATGGAACTAATAAACATTTAGTAAATTTGGAGGGACTGTAAATCCCTACCATCACAGTACATATGACATTGAGTGAAATAATATCGATTAGCATTGAGTGTGCTGGGAGGGGCTGTAAGTCCCGACCATTACAGTTCGTATATCATTGAGTGAAAAAAATATGGATTAGCATTGAGTAAATTTGAAGGCGTTGGAAGCCACAACCAACACAGTACCTAAAACATTGAGTGAAAAAAAATTTGGATTTTGCAATGATTGAGCTGGGCAGTGCTGTACGAGCATCCACAGCAGTGGGCTTAAAGTTGTTTCATCTAACCGAAACTTAAATTTTTTTTAAAAGTTTGCTAAAGTAAGAGATTTTTAAAGTAAAAAAAAAAAATCCGTCATTGATAATAAAACAATTATCCCTTTTTAAAAAATTAACCCTTTTCCTCTTTCAAGAAATGGACAATATGTACGACTCTGACAACAACCAAACCAACTTGGTCATGGTTCTTGACAACCTCAATGTTGACGATAAAGAGTTGGTCAATGATGATACCTACACCAACGTTACGGACTACTCCTGTGGCAACGACAGCAATGAGAGCGATTTCGAGTATCAAAGCGAAGCTATGGCTATTGCGCCTAAGCAGAATCATGCTTGGACAAAGGTTCTAGACCGCGATTTGTGTAAGTCTTGGCTGACAGTGTCGGAAAGACCCTCCGTAAAAAATTCAGTAAAACCATCTGTTTTTGGGAAGTGTATCCTTTTCAACTTTAAGGCTTCCGGGAAACAAGCCTGTCCAGAAAGAACGGAAAAAGGTTTTGAAAGCCCACTGGAGAGTTGTTCTTGCTTTGGTCAGCACGTTTTGTGGTGCTGTCGCTGCAATTAAACGACGTGATGCAAGTGGTAAAGTTGCCTATGACGAGTTAAGAATTATGATTAGATTTGTCCTAAAATATTAGGATTTAGAGCAGATATTTCTTTAAATATGTGGGTAATAGCCTCAAGCTTTTTGAGCAAAAGTATGAAGTTCTGTTCAAATACGTCCCTTGCTTTCAGCAACGTAATGATACCCCTTAAGTGTAAATTCAGTTGAAGCGCAGAGATCGGAAAATTGAGGCAAAGAAGGAAACGGTAATGAATAGCAGAGTGGCTACCTCTTCATCTCCACGTAACCATGCTAATACTGATTCTAGTAAGCCGGCCACAGTCGATGACGATGAGGAAGCCATGAGTGACGAATCGGTAGCAGTGCGTCCTATTGGACGTAAAAAGACCAAGAAGGATGGCCATTTAGACACGACGTACCAAGGACGTTGGATGGACCAGACAAGATGCAATCCTAAGCAGACAAAAACCTTAGGAAGGTCCCGACAAAGATGGACAATGCCACGGAGATCCAACTTTGTCAGATGAAAAAAATTGCGAACAGCGTGAACAAGTAAGAGTTAACGCCTTGTGCAGGATTAACACGTAGGATTATGAAGGTAATGAGACGGCTTCATTATAAGCTTAATTGTCAGGAAACTTAAAGCGAATCTGAAGAGCGCAGATGGGTCTATGATATGACCATGACGTTTCAAAAAGTTACTGAAGCTAAAATGTGCAAGATCACGAGAAATGTCAGCAACCTCAGCAGGCCTAGCAGAATGCGTTTTGTGGAAACTGTTCGATCTCATATCGCTTTCGTCACCTTTAACCTCAACAATCATTTTGTGGATGATGATACACGCTTTCATAATCGTATCAAGGTTATCATTTTTTCTTAGTCTTGCAGGATTACTGATAATGTCAAATCCAGCATGCAACATACCATAAGCTCTCTCCACCTCCTTTCAACATGCTTCTTGGGCTTTAACAGAATTTTATTTAAGACGAAAAGTCGATTAATATCCCAAATACCAAGTATTGTTTCTCGAAACAATAGTTACAACTTCGGAACCAGGTCTAGGGATGGAACAGATCTTGCCAATTTTCGCATAATTAGGGTACGTCCCGTCACCAAGATAGTACCCCGAATTGAACTCTTCGTCACCAATGTTGAGCTTGATATCGGGACGGCTTGCTTCCATATACCTATCAAAAATAACCGATCTATTGAGAACATTGATATCATTGAGCGAGCCAGGCAAACTAAAATTGGTATGCGAGATCCACAAATCGTATGATTGGACATCTTCAAGAATAACGGTTGGCGTCTTGTCTTTGTCCGTATACTGCCCATGATATGCTGCTGGTCAGTTTTTCAATGCGAAGTGCATGCAATCTGTCGTATATGACGCCTAATACCACGAATACAATTACTTTTACCTTGTCACTCAATTATAATATATATTACCTATATGTTATAAGTACTATATAGCGAATACATTTCTACTGGTACGACACAATACTAACTCCCTCATATGTCAAACTGAGATCAGATTTTATAATCGTTTTTGGATTCGTCGAGTAACTGCCGATTCTTCTAGTTTATCATAAATTTATTTTAGTAATCCAATCAAGGACCATGTCATTGAATGGATAAACTATAATGCTCTAGAAGTGCCGTATATGGGTCAACTAGCTCCTTGTATATACCTATAAGCTCTGTCTCATATCTAACTGACTTCTAGATCTAATTCTACCATTTCCCATTTTGCGGGTAAATAGTCAATTCGATCTGCGCAGGAAAAATCTTGATGTAAAAATTGAATATTAAAATGACCTCTATTTTTATCATGGCAAACTCTCGAACTTGTAATAAAGGATTATAGAGTCTCATTTCTTTACTTGCTTTATTTTCCAATTTACAATTCCCTTTTTTATCTTCAATATCACAATATCCACGCTGCAGAAGGTCTATAATGGTCCTAGGTTAATTTTTAGAAAATTCACAAGAACTTTTTTAGAAGCTGAGATTGCTATTGGTGATAGAGCAGATCGCATTGTTGTGATTCCCACCATATCAATATCTGCAGATAATGGCAACGTACCATTTAGCCTACTTCGACGTCATTTTCTGTCCAACCTGCATTTGGAATGAACATCAACAAATGGCAATGTCAAACTCTTTCCTTCACTACTATTTGTCTCCTTAAACCCGTTTTCACGAACGGTCGATTTTATGTTGCTTTGTCCGGGGTTCGTGATTCTGCTGATATTAAGATAAGCTTACTGAATGAGCCACCATTATCAACACTCGCAGACAACGTTGTATCTAACGAAGTCCTAACTACGCCCAAAATTAAGCATAAAGTAATCATTACCAAAAAAATCTATTGTTATCCCATTTACAACCATTGAGTGGTGTCGGTGCCTAGCCGCAGTCGCGAGATCGCCCCATCAGGAACGTACATTATTTTTAACGTAGCGTTGTGAAGTTCAATTAATTACCAAAGTGGGCTGGGCCGCGTTCTCGTTTAAGTAAAAAGATATTCTTACTACACGTTTTGGAGAGATGACAGAAAAATGAACAGCAGTTTTCTCATTTGCCATTTGATGAAGGCGAAATCTGTTTCAATCGTTACGACATCAAAAAGGGAATTCTTGAATGTCGAGGTGGGCGATGAAACAATGATCATATACATTTTTTTAACTTTAATCTTTTGTAAATTGGACCTGCAAACAAAGTCCAGACTTTTTTTTTAATATCTGACAGAAAAAGTGACTTTTGTTTAAGAAATACAGTAACACGTCATCAATTTGCGGGGCGCAGCTGTTTTTTTTATTTTAAACATGGATTTTTTTTTTTTTATTTTTTTTCTTTTTTTTCTTTAAACAAGTCTTCCTAAAATGATTGAGAACGTTTTTAACGACGAGTAAGTATTAAATAAGTAATTTACAAGTACTTCTTTTACGCGATGCTAATCTTGAGAATGCTTAGTTTAATGTGTGACATTACGCACCGTGGATACTTGTTTTTCTTTTTCGCTTGGTTCCACGCCAGCTTTGCCTTTCTTTTCCTTTGGGAAAAATTTGCTTCGTTCTTTGGTTCGGTCTACGCCTTTGCCAGTAGTGGTCGCCGACCATTGACTAAACCACGGCCAGTGGTGATTGGGGAGCTTTTCGTTCTCTGCGATGGCAGAATAACACCGGTCTCCTTGGCCAAAAAAAACTCGTTGGTGTCCTCTTCCTCTTCTGTGGTGCCCTCTTCTTCTATTTGTCCTTCCTCTGTTGCTGTTCGTCCTGCTTCTGCTGCTGCCTCTTCTGTCGGGTTTCTCTCCTCTTCTGTTGGTCCCTGTCCTTCTGTTGTCGGCTCTCCTGCTCTTGCGCCATCTCGTGCTGCTCCTGAGCCCTCTCCAGAGTCTGTTGCCTTTTCGTCTGTGTTCCTTTCCCCTTCTGCTGTTTCCTCTTCGACCTCTGAGGTTACTAAGCAGTCTTTTGTCCTTCGGTCGGCGCCTGTCTTGTCCGACAGAATGGACAGACAGGGATACCTCTTGGACTTTGCGCGTGTTGTGGGTTTGTCCTGCCATAGTGGTGGTGGCTTAGCTACCATCCGGCAACCCTCAGAAAAAACTTCTTCTGAGGTATCATTTGGTCTGGGCTGTGAAGCCATTACCCAAGCATTGCTTGCGGCTGGTGTTGTTGCTCCTCCTGTTGCCTCGGTCGCTGCTCCTGTTGCCTCTGCTGCTTCCCCTGTGGCCTCTGTTGCACCTCCTGTTGCCTCTGTTGCTGCTCCTGTTGCCTCGGTTGCTTCTCCTGTCGCCTCTGCTGCTCCCCCTGTGGCCTTTGGTGGACCTCCTGTGGCCTCTGCGCCTTTTCCTGCGGCCTCTGCTGCTTTTCCTGCGGCCTCTGCTGCTCCGCCTGTGGCCTCTGTTGGTCTTCCTGTGGCCTCTGTAGCTACTCCGGCGCCCTGTGTGGATTCTCCTGGGGTTTCTGTTGTTGCTCCTGTCGTTTCTGTTTCTCCTTCTGAGGCTGTTGTTGCTGTTTCTGCGGCCTTCGTTGCCCCTCGTGAGGTGGCTACTTTGGAGTCTGGCTTCTCGTGGAGTTCTTTTGCTCCTTCCGTGACTGGTCCCTTTGTCTTTGGTTCTTCGGTTTGTTCGTCTTTGCCTGCTCTTGCCCCTTCGGGTGTTAAGCAATTGGTTAGTGCCTCTGCGGTTGGCGTATCCGCTGGACCTGCTCCTCCAGTTGTTTGTTCGACTGCTTGCTCCCTTCCTGTTTCTTCTGCTGGCGAGTCCTTCTTCGCCAAATTAGCTGCAGATGAGGATGGTAAGAAAAAGAAATTTTAGACATATTATAGTCTTTCTAACTCACGTTTTCTTTTCGATGTAGAATATTTGGACTCGCTAGCAGAAGAAATTGATAAACTTCTTGATCGAGATTTCGATTTTTAAAAATTTTGTTCATGTCTTTATTTTCAAATGTGGTTTCGTAAATAATGTGTGGAGTTTGGTTATAAAGAGTGGGTATATTTTGTAATTTCAAGTTGAAAGTTTGGGTTGTAAGGTGTTAATCTAGACGCAAACAAGTCAACATCATGACAAATTTGACAATTCCAATGTCATTGAAGAGTGTGGAAATTGTACTTTTTTTTCATGAAAAATATTTTTCAGTTCAATTAACAAATTACCACTTCGAAATATGGAATTGGCGTACGATGGACGTCCAAAACAATTTTTTAGTCTATTGTCTCCTATATCAAGAAGTATAATAAAAAAATTGAAAGACAAACAAAAATACAACAATGAATAACAACACACACCGAAGGAGGTAGGTTTTTCGTTTATTTAAAAATAGAATTTTCGGCTCAAGAAAATTCTTTTTTTCCCTTTCAGAATTGTTTATATTTTTTTATTTGCTGAAATGATTCTTCATCTTTGCAATGGCGGTCAATGTTAAAAACCACATTCTCATGAGGTCGAAAGAGAGCTTTGCATCAACATTTCCATTTCTTATATTTCGAAACAAAAGCGCTTAATGACATGCCGAACAGCAATAACTACAGTAAGACTGATGTCCTTACTTTTTTTTACGCAACAACATTAAAATAGTAACTGCTTTAATAGATTGTCCAAGAATGACTGAAATGGAAGATATCATTCCGGGCATCGAAACAGTCTGCATTGAACAAGAATCGCGCGCAACGTTTAAAAAAAGGTTTGATCTCAAACCAGGTTTATTAATAAGTCTTAAGAATGACAGAAGCAGCCGTAACGTCGAAGTATATGGAAAAATTATCAAACAATTTATACATGTAAGCATGGTAAATGAAAAGAGCGATGAAGATGAAAAAAAAGAAGCAGAACCAAAAACTAGTATTAATGGGAAGCTGACAATTCGTGCCAAAACGAATGTAGCTAACTATGCAGATATGAAATTCAAACATACTGCCCAACATCAAATTGAAACCAGTCAAGATTTTCATAATGCCGAATCACAAATTAGAGTGACATATATCCATTTTTTGCTACTAGTATCGATGTTAAAAACGCCTCATTAAGATAGCTGCTGATACTACCATTTAGTTTTTATTACTACTTTAAAGTTGGCTAACGGCAGTAGCCTACCTGGTTTCCAGAAATGGTCCAAAACAATTAAAATAAACTTAAGTAATGTCTGGAAATATAGTGTTACGAGATATTAAGTCTGTACATAGAATTGGAATTAATCTATGCTGCTGAAGTTACAAAGGTATGATGAAATACATTACCGTTCTTAAAATCGTCTTCAAATCGTTACTACTCTGAACAAAACACCCTATTAAGAATCATGGCTTTTGTCTCCCAGAACATCGACGTTTATGACGAATCTTATTTTGAACTGGTAAACAAATGCTATGGCAGAAAATCAAGCTCAAACTTACTTATCTTTACAAGATCTGAGATCGTTCGTTATATGAGTTGATGGTTCGCCTTAAATTGGAATATAGAATCAACACTAGCAGCGGTAGACATATTGGGCTAGGAGTGAAAAATCCAAAAATCGAAAATCGAAAATAAGACAAAGTATTAAACAGATCTCAAAAAGGAACCAAATTGTATTGAACATAAAAATAATGATTTCTTTTATACAAAATGAATACAACAAAAACTAAAAGCGGGACCATGCCATCTTGGTTGGATTATATTCAAATTGTCGTATTTGACGCCTAATTCCACGAATATAATTACTCTTATCTTGTCACTCAATTATAATACATATAACCTATGTATTATAAGTACCATATTGCGAATACATTCCTATTGGTACGACACAGTAACAGCTCTCTCATATGTCAAACTGAGATCAGATTTCATAATCGTTCCTGGATTGGTCGAGTAGCTGCCGAATCTTCTAGTTTCTCATAAATTTATTTTAGTAATCCAATCAAGGACCCTGTCATTGAATGGATAAACTATAATGCTCTAGAAGTGCCGGATATGGGTCAACTAGCTCCTTGTATATAACAATAAGCTATGTTTCATATGTATCTGATTTCTAAATCTAATTCTACCATTTCCCAGTTTGCGGGTAAATAGTCAATTCGATATGCGCAGGAAAAATCTTGAACTAATAATTGAATATAAAAAGGACCTCTATTTTTATCATGACAAACTCTCCAACTTATAATAAAGGATTATAGAGTCTCATTTCTTTACTTCCTTTATTTTCCTAATTTATTTTCCCTTTTTATTTTTCAATTATCACACAAATATTGTCCAAGCTGTAAATAAACCCGCAAGGAGCAGTAAGGAGAATATAATAAAGAACCCGTCCTTGAATGGGCATTTGGTGTTACGTGAACTATGAAATTAGCAGCTGACATATGATAAATATGACAGCAGTGAGAATACTTCAATCGTCGTAGCACAAGTATATTACCTTCGCTAAGGTGTATTTACAGCTCTCATATAATAAAGAGCACATTACGACGTACATGATGAGAACATATTCAAAATCGGAACAATAACGGTAGTCTTCCATTCTCTGCATAATCAAATATCTTGTATGTATTTCCATATTGCTATTCCTTTAAAATCCTGAATAATGCGTGTTGTGTTGAAAGGTGAACTAAAATTATCAGAAAACTAAAGGAGAAGTTTGATGTTGTTTATAAGATGTCCTTATTTAAGAAATAAAATATGCGAGTTTTTATGTAAAAGACTGTCTGTTGTGTTCATATCACTAGTGCTATATAGAAGTTATCAATGATCAACCACAATAGTATACGATTATTACATAGTTACTAATTTAGTCTTGTTCTAATAAATGTGAGGTCTTTTGAACTCTCTTTGCTTTAAGCTAAGCTTTGAGTACTTCTCAGACATACTAAGTTAGGCATTGATGTAATATCCTTATAGTTCTTACTATGATATTTATTGTTAAGCTTATATCACAAATGGTATAAGCACGTATAAACAATTTTTAGCTGTAATATGACTATAGCCTTGCTACGTTATTACTTTTTATACAAACACAACAAAACAATCACAGGTACCGTGAACAGAGAATCCCGAAAACGCATTTGTTGCTTCAAAATCCTAAAAAGTTTAATAAGAATTGTAAAAAAGAAAGACCTAATCATGTCAAGGTTGTTTCTATGACGACGATAGTTGTGGGATGCTTCGTATTTGGATAGACTAAATATTATAAAGTATCAATAAAAGCGATTCTTGTCACAGGCAAAATCTAGACGACTTACTTGGATTGATTAGTGGGTAAAAGCAAGGACGAAGAAACATTTGTGATCTAGAGCCTCTGGAGCTATTAACCTTTTTGTTGGGTCAAGAACAAGTAACTTGTCTAAGAGGTCGGCAACAGCGAGATTATAACTGTAGTATTCGGGTCGAATACGTGTCACAGTGTTTTTAGACCTGGTCTTTCTAGCATCTGGTAATTTGTGCCAAATTGGCATGTTCTGTTGATTGGGTGAGCGACATAAATTGAATATTTTTTTTCAGCTGATCATGGTTGTCTTCTCTTTGTAATGTAACCCTGGATTTGATAAGCTCACCGAAAACACATCCAACGCCCCAAATTTCAATTGCACTGGTGTATTGTCCTTCATTAAAAATCATCTCAGCCGGTCTATACGATCTAGTTACAGCGGACTTGGTGTATTCCTAATTATCGTTTTTTATATCACGTGCAAGACCGAAATCTGCAATTTGTATAATACCGTCATTGTCGTCTAAGATATTGGAAGCTTTAAAAAATTTAGTTCAATCCGAAAAACCTTGTAACCATTTGAAATTGGTTTCATTTTTAGTTGTACAATTTACCTTTTATGTCGCGGTGAAGGATGCCTTTTCTTTTACAAAAACAGCGTTAGTAAAATAATATGTCACGCTAATCTTTACACTTTAATTTGTGCATATGCGCTGCTGCTTCGAATAATTACTTCAGGTATGTCTTTATTTCTTGGGGTGTTAATTGAACATTCGGGTTATACATTAAACCTGGCAAGTCATGTTCCATACGTGGAAGCAGGATATAAACATTTCGGCCTTTCAAAAAATAAAATACAACGGGTTTTAGTTGGACACTCAAGTCTTCAAACAAACATTAATCGTAACTGTATCAACCACAACGTTGCGTAAGGGAACGATATTTTTATGGTTGAATTGTATACAAATATTGATTTCCTGTAAAACAGAGAGGTGTATCTAATACGATTAAGACCAACTCTTATGTAGTTTACAGTCCTAGTATATTACACTTACCCCTTCCCCTTCGTCGCCGGTTGCCATTCTTGTTAACGCAACCAAGTCATTGCTTTGTTTCTTCCTTGCTTTCAAAACTTCACTGTAATGTAATAATATTTACTTCAGACTTGACATTCAGTAATTACATGAACTAATACAAACTTACTCGAGACTTCCCTGGCCAAGCTTATCCAAAAATTTATAGTCTGTTACTTTGGGACGGTCCTTGGATTGTGGTTCATTCTAGTATTGTGATAGTGTATGGGGTGTGGAGGTAATTGCTTCGTCATTCCTAGCTGACGATGGCATGTTTGAAGGTGAGTCCTCAAGCTTTCGTTTTAAATCATTTCGGCTTTCTTCAAATAAGATGTTATTGTATGATCTCTTGTTTCGCGGCATTTGTAAAACAAATTTTTTTTACATGAGCTTGTAAAGAGAAGAAGGAAACTTCAGCTCCGAAGAAAAAAAAACATTGGGAAGTATAAGACAGTCACACTATGTTAATTGTCGCATATATCAAATAAAAACGGAATTTGGATGCTTGAGATATTGGTGGTAAAATAAGCCATAAGCCATCTTGGTTAATTTTGACATCTCATTTAATTACAAATTCAAAGATTAGTCATCCCACACAACGGTAACCTTAATTAGCCTTAACTCTCAAAAAGTAAAATTCTGAAGGGTTCAGTCTATCTATTTCATAATGAACA